AAGCGGCCGCGCACCACAGGACACGCTTCACTCGGGCCAGCTTCCACAACAGGCTGCGCACCACAGGCACCAACCATTTTCTTAAACGTGTTCCACAACACACGTCCTTTACTCACATCTCACCTACATCTGCCCATGCCATTCCTACATGCATGACATCATCCACATGCTCATCACGTTTCAGAACATCAACGCAGCAGAGAGGTAGGTCAATGCGGGGGAGTGTTGACAGGCAAGTCCTGTCTGCTGAGTCATCATTGACCTCCATTCTTCACGACACCACAAATTTGCATTCACCTCTCTTGTGTTCTGGAATGTTCACGTGATTTCCCTCCAACCTGTTGCACGTGCAGTGTTTACCTTGTGTGGTTGCTCGATGTTACATGCTCTTGCATAACACACCACATAACCACACAACTCTCAACAAACACTGCCACGTCACCACTTTGCGTTGTCGACAATTCTTGTCTTCTGTTCTGTTTCTTTCTGTTGGAGTGTTCATTCATCCTACATCCTTGTTTGCTTCACAACTCAAGTAAACACACACAACTCTCTCTTGCCAAGACAATCTCCCACACAACACACAGCACACACAGCACACACAGCACACACAGCACACACACACACACACACGCAAGTCTCCAACAACAGCACCACACCATGAGCTTGCAACACTTATGCTTTTGTCGGTATTTCTGTCACCAGCTGAAATCATTTTGCACCGGGGGAATTCAGTGGTAAAATGGCCTAATCCGGCCCCGGCTCGTCGTGCTCCGACCAACACTCTGTGTCTCGTGTGATGACTTCTGGGGTCGAAGGAAAGCGAACAAGATGCGAGAGGTCACGAATTATGCCCCTCTACACAACAAGGACACATTGTTCACACTAAGGGTTGACTGGTGCTTGACGTGACTTGCAACCAACCCATGTTGTGTGAAATGCCTTTCACACATCATTCCCACTTGACTGCCACGTGTACTTGTTGTTCACCTGCTTACTTGTTCTTTTGATTGTTCATTCTCTCCACGACTAGTTCTCACTCACAATACACCAGACTACCCATATCTGGGTCTTTCAATCCTACATCCTTGTTTGCTGCACAACTCAAATAAACACACACACACAACTCCCCCTTGTCAAGATAATGTCCCACAAAACACACACAGCACACACAGCACACACAGCACACACACAAGTCTCCAACAACAGCACCACCACCATGAATGTTCACAGTATTGCATACGCTTGTACGTTTGTTGATGATGCGTAAACGTGAATAGTTGCCTGGCGCCCCTCTTCGATCGCAAGAGCTTAAAACTGGTCACCAGACTCGCGGACACTGGGAACTTTCATATATTGCCACAACATCTGTGGAAATGCAGACTCAACACAGTTTCCTTTGGTTGATCTTGCAAGAGTTGATTGAAGCTGCACTTGTTGCCAACAGAGTCGATGCCCTTGAGCCGTAATTGTTGCTAGCATGGTTCCAGTGTCAATGCTTCCTGAGTCAACAAATCCTGCCATAAAACGTGTTGCGATGGGGCAGTCACGTGTGTATACTGTAGGCAAACGCAACAAACAAGAACACAAGGAGAATGAACAAGCATAACAAGCTGCTGCCAAATCAACTCGGGCAGCACGCTCAAACAACCATCACATCTGTGCACACAGCCAACAACGCTGCCAAGGCGACATGGGCAGAGTGTGCACGAACACAAACAATCTAAACAATGAACAGTGTTGTGTGAAATGCTGACTCAGCTTTCACACAACATACCCAACCACTTGTATGCATGCAATCTTGCATCAACCTGCACGCACGCAAGATGGCTGCTGCGTGTACTTGTTGCTTCCACGTGTACTTGTTGTTCACCTCTCTCACTTGTTGTTTGTTCACTTGATGTTTGTTCGATTGTTCATTCACTTCTCGACAGTCTACATTCGCATTACACTACTTACACTACACTACCGACATCTCGGCACAACAGCCTGCATCATCACCGCCTGCTTCCTGTACGCCATCTCGCTAATTTTGGCTTTTGTTGTTAGGTATGACGTCATAAGATTCAGGCTCTGTTAGCATTAAAAGGTGCGCAGATGCCGAGCTCCTCGTAGATATGGTCACCAATGTGGTGCGTGCAAAAGGAATTGTTCGGTTTGCATACGGTAGTACGCAGTCTTTCGCCCGCACACCTTGCACCTGCCTTGTCGCCGCGCCTGCTGGTCCACCTTCCCCCATCCCAGACCCTCCAAGCCTGGTGCAGGTAGTTTATGCGGGCACAGGCACACGCTTCTTGCCTGAACGGGCAAATCCACGCAAGTCCCAACCCTTGCAACTTCGATGCTCTTCATGGTTCGTCGTCAGGAATTTGAGCAGCGTTCAAGATTCCCGTGGAATGCACAACTTATTCGGGGATAACACATTGCACTAACGGTTTATCCTTGTTGAACACTCATGGTGGTGGTGCTGTTGTTGGAGACTTGTGTGTGTGCTGTGTGCGAACGTTCGCCTGGCAAAGAGGGTTGTGTGTGTTTACTTGAGTTGTGAAGCAAACAAGGATGTAGGATGAATGAACACTCCAACAGAAAGAAACAGAGCAGAAGACAAGAATTGTCGACAACGCAAAGTGGTGACGTGGCAGTGTTTGTTGAGAGTTGTGTGGTTATGTGGTGTGTTATGCAAGAGCATGTAACATCGAGCAACCACACAAGGTAAACACTGCACGTGCAACAGGTTGGAGGGAAATCACGTGAACATTCCAGAACACAAGAGAGGTGAATGCAAATTTGTGGTGTCGTGAAAGAGGGAGGTCAATGATGACTCAGCAGACAGGACTTGCCTGTCAACATTAATCAAACAAGCAGGGTGTGCTTTTGTTGCTGTGTTGCTGTGTGTGTGCGTTGGTGTGAGTGCTAGGCTACGAAGTGAGTTGCGCGGGCGTGGGTGTGTCACAACTGTAAAGTTGGACATGCAGCAGCGCAGTTGCTGTGAGTATCAAAACCGTTTGCAATCAAGCAGGAACAGCCAAACAATAAAAAAAATGAAGAACAAGAAAACACAAGGCTCCACACACCACGCGCGTGAGCTTGGCAAAAGTTCTTGCCATGCATGGCGTGCGCCAGTTCGCATTCATATCCGATGGTGTGCACCTGCGACAACCGCCGTGGATGTAACCACTCTTTCCTCCGGCATCTGTCTCGGCCATATGTGGGTCACGTTGGCGTCTTTTGGGATCGCCTCAAACAAAGGGATGTACTGTTAAAAACCCACTGTTGCAGCGTCAAACGAACCAGCATTGAATTGAAAAGGAGGGAAGTATTTGCTAAACTTCTTCCAAGGCAGCTTCATGCTGTCGCGATACGATCTGGGGTGCAGGCCCTCGAATAGCGTTGTTGTTGACAGGCAAGCCTGTGTGTTGGCTCAGTCATCATTGGCATCTCCTCTTCAGGACACCATACTTCGCATTCACTTCTCTCGTTCAGACACGTTCTCTCACTGCAACGCGTTGCACGTGCAACGACTTATCTCTCCTTAACTTCGCCCCTCTTGCACTGTAAAAGCACGCCGTATTTAGTGACGTTGGCATCGTGAACTCGCATTTGGTCGCGTTTACTCACTTCAACAACAGTGGTTGTTCAATACCATTTGAATAGGACACCATCCTATTTATCGGACCGCACTACAACAAACAAGCAAGAAGCAAGCAGTTCGCATCCAACCTGCTCCTACGACATCCTCCACCTTGCTGACCTCTCGCAGTGATGCCGTCCATCTTGACGTCGGTCGTACCCTCCGGGTCACCGCCAGCCTGGTGAATTGGAATTGGCCCTGCTTCGGCACCACACCAGGTTTGTCGCGTGACTGTTCGCTCAGGTGCCCCTTGACAGCCGTTTTCACAACCCTCCGTTCGTCATGCCTCATTCATGGTCTGGCTTTCATCTCGACCCTCTCCTGCCAACCACACACACACACACACACACACACACACACACACACACACACACACACACACACACACACACACACACAATATTTGCAGATGAGTGAAGGTGGGCAACGCGTGGAGGTGCAGGACACGGAGAGATCGGCGCTGGACCGCCTCCAGAGGCGAGACGCGGCATCCCTCTCCGTGGTTCAGCTGTGTGATGTGATTCGCAGGGGACGGGCCAGCCCAAGTGTGGTGAGCTTTGGTCTCGCTCACCTCTTGGAGCGGCTCTCATCAGTGAGGGCATCAACGCAGGCAGAGGCTGCCCGTACTCCCTCAGGTTCTGCTTCAGTGCCGAGACAAGCAACAGGACCACTCCCTTCAGCCACGACAGCATTCGAGTCAGCAGCGACAGAAGCAGTCACCACACGGACTCGAACAACAACGAGTAGCGAAGATACACAAGCGCGGAATGACCACGCCATGGTCTTGCGCACCGTTCTTTCATGTCTCCCTGCCCATATGGAGGCTGTGGATGTGCAGGTGAACGGCATGGGCGTGCTGCGCGCGGTTGTTGAAGCTGCAGAACAGCGGGACCATGACCTTACGGCGGCATGGCCTATGGTGCTCAAGGCCATGGAGACCCACAGCTCCAAGTACGATGTGCAGTTGCAGGGTTGCTTGCTCTTGAAGGAGCTGCTCAGGCTGCACCCGAACCTGCTCCCTCTCCAACAAGGCGTGGCGGTCCTGTCACGGATCGTGCGCACGTTCCGTGCCGCAATTCGCGTCCAGCATGCGGCTGCTGACACCCTGCTCCTGCTCTCGCGCAACGCGCAGGCGCGCTGGGCCTTGGTCGAGACGGACGTGCTTGTGGTGCTCCTGGAAAAGTGCCGCCACAACCCGGACATCATCGCACATGCGCTGCGGGCGCTGTCCCACCGCATCAGCCTGGAGGACCTGGACAGCCCGCTGCTGTGTTCCGGCATTGTGAGCGCTGCCGTCGGTGCCATGAGCCAGTGCGCTGCGTCCCCGCTTGTGCAGCAGTATGGTATGGGCGTGCTCCAGCTTGCTGCGTCGCCAGCGCTCGCCGAGGACCTGCGACGCGCTGCTGTTGAGGCGGCCCTGCAGGCCATGCACTCGCACGCCGACCCAAGCGTGCGCCACGGTGCGTGTATGGTGCTGCTCCTTACGGCACGCGCGGGCTACTACGGCGCGCTTCCAGCACAGGAGACAGTGCAACCTGTGATGTTGTTTGTGAGCCAGCACTGCCACAGCGACGTTGGCTGGAAGACGCTTACTGCCCTCGCGGCCATTGACGAAGAGCACCGCCACGTCATGTGCCAGCAGGGGGTCGCGGGGCTGGTGACGGAGACGCTCCACTGCCTTCACCCGGAGGTGCTTGACCACGGAGTTGCGGCAAGCGAACAGCGCCGCGCCGTGCTCATCGCATCTGGGCACACGCGGCCATGGGTCTGCAAGCTGGTGGAGGCGCTCGCCCGCACTCCACGTATGCTGCCCCCGCTCATCTGGGAGTGCATTGCCGTGGAAATTGTCAACGGGCTGTCCCGTGCATACCCGGTGTGGGCGTTTGCTCGCTGCGCCCACTCGGCCCTCTTCTCCATCTTCACGCGCTACGGCCCCGTGCGGCAGCTGGACTTCTTCCTCTTCCGCAGCGCCACCATAGCGAGCATGCGCATGTGCTGGCGAGACGCGGACACGGTTCGCACGGCCGCGCTGTCGCTCATGCAGCAGTCGGGGGTGATGGGGTCGCCTGGGCCTTGGCGCATCAGGCGCGGCGACGGCGGCAGCAGCAACACCAACAGCAGCAACAACAACAACAGCACTAACAGCGGCGACAGCGGCATCCGTGGAGAGCGGGACAGGGACTCTCGCTCGTCAGCCACCAGCACAACCGCGTCCCAGGATTCAAGCACGAGTGGTGCACCGTTGTCGGTGCCTGCCCCTGCACGAACACCAGCTCCTCCATCATCATCAACATCGTCGTCGTCGTCGTCGTCGTCATCGTCGTCGGCACCCCCAACAACTGCAGAGATACTGTCTGCTGCGCTTGCTGTGTCCGAGAGCGGGGCCGGACGAGAGGGCATCAACGGTGCAGATGGTGATGGGCAGCTGCTCCCGCTGCTGGATGTGGTTGGCGTGCTGTTGGCGGCAATGGTGCGGTTTCGCAACGATCACGACGTCCTCTGGCCGCTCAGCGAGTGTCTGCTCAACACCACGCGCACACGGCGGGCCGGCAAGCGCGTGTTGGCTAAGGAGGACGTGTCGGTGCTGCATGACCTGATGCGCCTGTTGGCGGAGCGGAGCGAGCGTGAGCTTGAACTCAGCCAGGGCGTATTCCCACCCACACAGCGCGACAGCACCACGACTGGCACTGGCAGCAGCGGAGACTCCTCCACCAACCAGCAGGGTGTGCAATCGTTCACTGTAGGTGCTGTCCTGCGCGGTGTTGGCAGCGCAGACGTGCTCTACAACATGCTCGTGTTCCTGGACCGCGTGCTGGGGTTTGGGCGGAAGCAGCTGATCGTGTTGCGGGAAATGGGCACAGCGGAGGTGCTGCACGGTCTCGCACGTCAGTCATCGCAGCTGCTGGAGCTGAAGGAGCTCTTGCAGGAACTCACCCAGAAGCTGCCCATGCAATCAGCCTGAGACGTGCGCACACGCGCGCGTGTGTGTATGTGCGTGTGACGGTATGGATGTGTGTATCTGTGTGTGTGTGTGTCTGTGTGTGTGTGTGTACGTGACGAGATGTGTGTGTGTGTGTGTCTGCGCGCGTGCGTACATGCACGTTGTTTTTCCTATTGTGAACCGCTTGGCCTATCCTCTGGCGATGTTGTCGCCCAATAAACATTGTGATTAAAGTGTTGGAGTGTCATGTGTATTCGTTCTTCGTACAAGTGCAAGCTTTATGTACACGTCATGTAGCAGACAGACACACAAGCACAAAATGACAGGCGGGCAGACAAACAAACACACACACACACACACACACACGAGCAATACAGACAGACAGACAGACACACACACACACTCAAACACACACACAATACAAAGGACAGACAGACACCCACCCACATACACACTTATACACACATAGTCACAACATGGAGTCGTGAAGGTCTTGCACCTTGGACGTGGATGTCAGTCGATGGCAAATCTCAGTAAACGGTGGGCGCTCGTGTGGCTGTTGGTGCATGCACTGCTCAGCCAAGCCCTGGAACCACGACGGAAACCCAACCTCTGCAATGACACACATGCACAACACAGGAGCAAAGGCGGACGAATGAGGGTGGAGACAAGGATGAGTGTTGCTGTGAAGGGCTGAGTGTGAGTCTGTCAGCGTGTGCTTGTGTGTGTGTGTGTGCTTGTGTGTGTGTGTGTGTGTGTGTGTGTGTGTGTGTGTGTGTGTGTGTGTGTGTGTGTGTA